CGGCATTCTAACCCGAATGGAGAAGTACATGAAGGTGAAAGTGCGAGGGAAGAAAAGCGAGAAGCTTCAAGAATCCGTGCCCGATCTCCTCAAGAATATATTGCTCGCGATGAAGACGAAAGGGGTACTCGTACAGAGAAGTGCACTCGGTGGAGACAGCTTGTGGGAACTGACATGGCTTCATGTCAACAACATTGTTCCGTCTTTGCGATCCGAGCTGTTCCCTGATCACGATTCTGGCTTGGCCGTTGACGGAACTGTCGCTAACCCTTCGAGCGGTTTAGCGGCTTCGTAAACAGCCACGGCCCCAGATTAACACGTTTGTGAATCGCTTGGGAGTAGTCGTCGTGATCCATCGTGTACAGAACTCAGAAAAGAGGAGTAGGAACTTGGGAAGTGTCGGATAATTCCTAAACGTATCTGATTGTATTTGTAACCCATTTACTCGCTCTGTTTGTTCTCAAGGCCGAGACGTAGGGAATTTGTTCGACAAAGCCTCTGCCTGGAAAAGCAGGTTACAGTATTGTGACCCACAAGTGCAGTGAAAAAATTAATGTATTTATAATTTTTACAAGGTTTCAAGATAGTTAAAGAGGTCCCGTTAATTTTTTATGTGGCCCCCTCCCATCTTTTTTTTCCTTCTATTTTTTGTATTATATTTTTTTAAAAAAATAGGTTATGTATTTTTTAATCACTGCAGATTTTAGGTCTTTTACTTTTTATTTTTTATTTAATTTAAAATTCTTTTCTAATACAAAATTATTTAGAAAAGTATTTTTCTAATACAAAATTACTTTAAAAAATCACAGTTATAAATATAAAATTTTGTTGTAGTTTCCATTGTTTCCATCTATTTTTAATCTTCCATTTTTTCTTAATTCTCTAACAGATTCTCTAAATCTGGTATTTAATCATATAAAAAAAACCAAATTAAATGTATATAGTGTTATAGTTTTTATTTAAAATAATTTTATTTTTATTTGTTCATCAATTTCTATATTTTAATTATATTTATAAATTTTGTTAATATTAGAAATTTTTCTCGTCTCATGGTGAAAACAAAAAATATCTTTCATATGTAGTAGTATACAAAACTTTTGAAATTAACATAAATTTTATTCGTTGTTACCGCGACCGTTGAAAGATGTTTTTTTAATAATGAATTTTATAGCGATAGTTTTGTGCAATCGGATTGGTGATCAATTTTTAAGTGATTGTTTAGTTTGTTTGATCGAAAAAAATATATTTTTACAAATAAAATTGTTATGGATATATTTTAAAAAAATAAAAATCATATAATTCAATTTTAAAATATACATAATAATATATTTTTATTGATTTTTATATTATATATATAATAATGTACCACCCTAAATTTTTTCAGGATCCGCTAGGTGATTATCGTGCTCTGTTGTAGATATATTCACTATAGTTGCAGACCGGACCCTCTACTTTGTCTAGAGTTTTCTTTACTGTCCTTTAAGGAGTTTGGGCTTCGTGAAAAATAAGGCCAATTGTGTAATATTGGTTCCAAGTTGTAAATGATCTGTCCATTTTCCAATTCCCATTTAGGCTCCAAGAAACGGTGCCCAATTAGAAACCTCCATAGCATGGAACCAACGGCTGAGATGAAAACGTGACCATAATCAACGGTGATGGTTCGAATGATTTTGTATTATTTGGCAATATTAGTGGTGATCAAGAAAACATATCCGTCGTGTCGGGTTGATTTGTTCTTTTCTTGGTAACACAAGCGAGATGGGTTTTTGTGTGTGTATATGCATGGGGTATAATAAATAACAAAAGATATCATAATTAACTTGATTCTCTAAAGAAAAAGGGGTAACTTTCCTTTAATTGAAAGGGAAACCATTTGTGACTATGCTAAAGGGTTAAATTCTAAATGGCAAATCAAAAGAAGAGAGCCGTTGAAGAAGCACTCTTATTAGGTACGAAGTTCAAAATGCTCCAACGATTCCACACATACTTCTCCTTGCCAATTTCTCATCTTGAAAGCCAGTATTAAGTAGTGTTGTTATTTGTGAATATTTATTAATTTATTTCTCAATTTATATATCAATTATGGAAAAAAAATATATCAAATCAAATAATTTTTTCGTAATATATATATATATATATATATATGTCTGATTTTTCCCTGCAATATGTAATTAATGGTTCTTTAACAGCTGAACTCTGGAGTGGAGACAGAGAGGACTGGACTGGTCTGAGCATTTCGGGTTTCCAAGTTTCTGCAGAATCTCAACATTTTAAGAAATTTCTGATTTTGGAAGATACCCTCTTAGCGAGAGGCTGAAATATTCGTCGGAGTTGAAAACGAAGAGAGGTTTTCTCGGGAAAGTTTCGAGTTTTTTTTTTCTCGGGAAACTAAAGAGCTGGATATAGATTAGAACTGAAGGATGTATCTGTATTTGTTGGCCATTTTCTCTCCTCTTCTCACCACTCCCCGCTCGTGATCCCTCGCTCCCCTTTTCGCTTTCTTTCTCTGGATGATTTTCCCCGAAATCCGACCTACATTTCACATTTACGATATCAGCCTCTGGATTCAATCCCTTAAACTTTCCCATCGAAGCTGTTTCAGAGCCTCTGATTCGCTTTTGTCGGGTATCTATTTCTGCATTTTGAAGAAACTCCACGCAAATCAATATACATAGTTCCGTGGTATTTGGGTCTCGTTTTGATTTCGTCTCCCATGAAGCGATAATGATGCTTGTCGGAGAGAAATGGAGATTAGATCAGAGGGTAATCACGCGAGGAGCGACAAGGCTCCAGCTCCGACAGTGCCCAAGCCTCGCTTGCAAATTTGGTTCGTGAGGGTCTGCTCCAGCATTTTGGTATGGACTTGCCTGGTTCAGCTCTTCGCTATCGGCGAGCTTTGGCATTCGAGGATCTTCACCGGTCTGAGCAATCAGATTTCCAGATTTTCCCGCCCAGTCGGGCCGGTCCGACCGCCGCTTCCTCTTCCATCTCCGAGTAAATTTCTGCGTATTGCTTTTTCTGGGTTCCTCGATTGATTCATGGGTGCATCAGGGTTTGATTTTTTTTTCATTGACAACGATTTGAAGGTTTAGTCTGCTTGTGAGATTTATTGGCTCATGGCTATTTCTTTCGGTGTTTGGTGGCTTAGCGGAAATGTTGATTTTTGCAGGAAATTATACAAGCAATGGTTTTCTTCGAGTATCCTGTAATGGTGGATTGAATCAAATGCGAGCCGCGGTTCGCCAATTGCTTCGATCGCTTTCTCACTCTTCGGCTTTGTTTAGGTTTCTGGATTTTGACGCATAGGCTGAAAAGTTCGTTTTTTTTTTCCAGATCTGTGACATGGTGACAGTTGCTCGGTTGTTGAACTTGACTCTTGTTGTTCCTGAGCTTGATAAGGCATCTTTCTGGGCCGATCCAAGGTTTGTTTCTATGTTTCTATGAGATCCTATGTCAAATTTACATGATGGTTTAGCTCATTTAGCACTCTCAAGCTTCATGGGTTGTGTCCTGCAGTGATTTTGAGGATATTTTCGATGTAAGACATTTCATTGATTCATTGAGAGACGAAGTTCGGATAATTAGGAGGATACCGAAGCGGTATGGCAGGAAATACGGTTACCAGCCATTTGAAATGTCGCCTGTGAGCTGGTCTGATGACAAATATTACTTGCAACAGGTTTGTGTGAAACTTTTGCTAGCCACAACCGTGCTATTTGACTTCTACTGACACTGATTGCTAGTTACTCGTTATGACAACAAGTAGAAAACAGTTTCAGAGTGTGCTTGTTCTTACTGATGAGTTTCTTGGTTGTGATTTGCCATTTTCATAGAGTATAAACTTCTATGGTCTCCATATCGATTTCTTCCTGCGTTTCTTGTTGTTCAGGTATTACCTCTTTTCAACAAGCATAAAGTTGTGCACTTCAATAGGACTGATGCCCGTTTGGCGAACAACGGTCTTCCCCTTGAACTCCAGAAGCTTAGGTGCCGGGTGAACTTCCAGGGACTGAAATTCACTCCGGGGATCGAGGCTTTGGGGTCTAAGTTGGTCGATGTTCTCCAACAAAGGGGTCCATTCGTGGCTTTGCATCTGAGATATGAGATGGACATGTTGGCTTTCTCTGGCTGCACTCGTGGCTGCACTGAAGAAGAGGCTGAAGAACTAAAAAAGATGAGGTTTTTTCCTTGCAAAAAGCTTTGTTGATTGGTGTCTACATCTTAAGTATTGTTGTTTGTCTTACAAATTGTGATTGGATTCTGTGTTCTTTCTAGGTATACATATCCATGGTGGAGAGAAAAAGAGATAGTTTCTGAGGAGAGGAGAGCTCAAGGACTGTGTCCTCTAACTCCAGAGGAAGCAGCTTTGGCTCTAACAGCACTGGGTTTCCAAAAGGATATGCAAATATACATTGCAGCTGGTGAGATTTACGGGGCCGAGAAGAGATTGACAGTTCTAAAGGAAGCATTTCCAAGAATTGTAAGCTTATGACTCATGGGTTTTTTCTTCTCTTGCGAAAAAGAGCGGATTAGTGAACTTGGTGTTCTTGCACTTTCCTGATTAATCTGATGGTATGTGGCTTCAGGTGAAAAAGGAAATGCTTTTAGGGCCAGCGGAGTTGCAACAGTTTCAGAACCATTCCTCCCAGATGGCTGCCCTAGATTTCATTGTATCGGTGGCTAGCAACACGTTTCTTCCTACGTACTATGGAAACATGGCAAAACTCGTGGAAGGTCATCGGAGGTAACTCTTCTGTGGATCGGATCATTCACTGTTCTAACAATTCAGAGTTATGCACAACTAGTTATATAAACACACATGCATCAAGACAGTTCTCACACTTGCTGAAACGGTTTGCAGAGATAAAACGGTAAGAGAAAATATACTAAACCATTTCAGTTCTGGCCATGTATGTATATTGCAGATACCTCGGGTTTAAGAGGACAATCCTTCTTGACCGCAAGAGGCTCGTGGAGCTTATCGATCTGCATCAGAACAAGACGATCTCGTGGGAACAGTTTTCAGTAGCTGTGAGGGAAGCCCACGATCAGCGAATGGGAGAGCCGACACGTAGGAGAGTAATATCTGACAAACCTAAGGAGGAAGATTACTTCTATGCTAATCCTCAAGAATGTCTTTGCAAAGGCACGACTTGCAGTGAGATGCTTGGCGCTAGAAACTACAGTTGGAGGCAGTGAAATCAAGTTTTCTGCATATGCTGAGCGTTTGCTTCCACAAGAGGAGGCCTAGGACGGTATGCAATTGCGAAAACACTAGAGAATGATAGTTCCTTCTCTGAGTTTTTCTTTCTATTGTTCATATCTTTCTTTCAGTTTTCCTGCATGTTCCTCAGGTCTACATAAGTTGAATAGATGTAATGTAACCCAAAAGAAAAGAAGAAGCTGTATCATCTTATAGAATTTTGAAAAGAATAACCTAAGATACAGATTGCAACAGGTCTCAGTTATTCCCCCCCTTGGGGCTTGATTTCATCTCTACTGTTTGATGCTAAGCTGGTGAAGATTTTCTTCCTTGACTTGAATTTGCAGCTCAAACCTGTATGAATTGAACTATGAACTCTCGCTTGGTTTCCCAGAAGATAGTAAGTGGTAAGCCTTTTCGTTCAATTCACAGTTCCACTGCCACTCAACTAAAGTGTGTTCCAAAACAAGCAATCATTCTCAAACCCTGTTTCATTCTTTTGCCATATTTCTCCGTTCTTGTAAAGATTCCTTATTCTTGTTCCTTTTTTTGTAATAAAAAGAAACCCTCTTGCTTGTATTCGAAAGGGAGAGACTGGTATGTAAAACCCACAGAGCAAGACAAAACATATGGGGAGTATGTGCAAATCCAATTGGTCGAGAAAAATAACTTCGTTTAAGGTTATGTAAATGATGGGCCATTACAGTTCAAGTTTTCACAAGAACCAGTAGAAAAAGCATATGAACATAGTGGACACACATTGGATATGAAGATGGATTATTCTTCTTTTATTTTCGGTAATTAGAATGTGCTTTAGCCACCCACATGAGATACGGTTCTCGGTGACTTGAAAAAGCCAGACTTCGAGACATGAACCAAAGTTGTTCAAAGTAGACAGATATAGAAAATGGAAATGCACTGACCAGACAGAATATGAGGCAACAAGATGTTTCTTATATTCTAATTCAAACCTGAAGCAGGAAAATTATAACCGAACCTTAAGAAAAACAGTACAAGGTCAAGTAAAAAATATACAGGGAGGAAGGATAAAAGATATGAACAGAGTACACCGATGAGCGACAAGTCAAGAACATGGGTTGCCTAGAATGATGCTTGACAGGGTTATGCAGAAATCAAACGTTAAGCTCAATAACGATGCAAAGAAAATACCCAGAGATGATTCGCAATGTTTCACATCTCGGAAAGATGAGACATATGTGGACAAAGATTGAATGGTAAAGATCCAGAAAAGTCACATAAAGCTGAAGGCTTTTAAGAATCTTAGATGTATGAACCCATAAGTGGACAACGATTGAGATAGAAATATAGAATCACATTGATAACCAAAACATGAGCCAGAAAATGCAGCAACCGTAAGCAATCACTAAAAAGTCACCATCTTTATTTGGAACAAGGAACAAATCACATGAAAATGGCCTGAAAGTTATCAATTTGGATAAACCACAGGTCCACAGAGCAAAAGCCAGCTTGATACATAGAAACATTCATGGGCATTAAGCAAGTAATGAACTTTAAACACTTTGCAGAATCAAAATCGAAGTATTCATTGAGATGGAACTGAATTTGCAGTGTCAACCAAACAATTGATCTCAGTCAATGGACTTATTTCTTACTCAGACAATAATTTTAATCAGAGACGAAAGCCGATCAATATGTTGATCTTGTAGATCAACGAATCTAACAAGGAAAATCTTGTTCCTAGCTAACAATTCCTCGAAATTTCAGCGTTGGTCCGCCATCAAATCAACAAGAGACCAGAAAGTTACCTAAGACTCAGCTTTCTTTCCCAATTCCGTCAAACCCTCGTTTCCCTTCGATCCCTCTGCTTCCTTCTTAGCCTCCTCCTCCGCCTTCTCTCGTTCCAACTCCATCTTCGCCTCCTCCTGCGCAGCCTTCTCCGCCCTCAGGATCGGCTCATAGTAATCGGCGTGAGCGTCCATACACTTCTTGAGCGAAGCCGTGACCTCCGTACACTTCGTGACGATATCTTCCTCGTTCTTCTCAGCTTCCTCTATGCAATTTTCCCACGCTATAAAGCTTTCCTTGCAACCACCTCCTTTCATGAACAGGCAAAACCCGCACTCGCCTTCCTCTTCATCGTCTTCATCTTCCTCGATTTCGTCTCCTTCCTTCGATCGATTCAAATCTTCTTTCGGAGCTTCAGATTCCGCCGGATCTCGCAAATTGGTCGACGAATCTCCCTGCGGCGTCGACGGATCGTCTCTGTTTCGAGTTTCGGCGTCGGATTTCGTCGTTTTCAGATCCGCAGTTGCCATAATCGTACTCTCGTCGGATAACGAGTCAATTGTTAGAAAAATCGCTAGGGTTTGTAATTGTCTTTGTACTGCAAAAGACTAAAGAGGAAGACTCCCCTTAAAACCCCTCAAAAACCCCTTTGTCGCTATTTAAATAATAAAAAGAAAAAAGAAATACATTGTATTTAACGGAATCGGAGTCAGACCGCGAGTCAGCTTCTAGAAACTCGCTATGGTTTGCCGTTACCGTGAAGTCCACGTGATTAGCACGTTCCGTTTGTCTCCGACTGAAAATTTTCGTCGAAACTTAGCTACAGCCCCTAAACTATTGATAATTCTAATTATTTCTCCATAGTATGTTTAGTTTCAAAAACCTCCCCCATCTCTCAATAGTCAGTTTGGCAACTTTGGTAAGAACTCTGCTGATAGCTGAAGAGGAAACGCATCAACATATCACCCCCTCTCATCTGTATCTCCATCTGTCCTCATTATTACAGCGACCGTTACAGAATGTTCTTCCGCCAAGAAGAACATCCCATGGTTGGTCATGAGGACAAACAACTACCTTGTCCCATTCTCGATCTCCTCATTCGAGGGCATGAGCTCAAGAAGTTGTTTCCAGAGAAAGGAACAGTCTTTCACCACTTGGGTCGGTATCTTTTCCATCCTTATCCGAATCACATCTTGGGACCGGTAACAAAGAGTTGGCCATCAGATAAAAAATTCTTTGATGAAAGGTCTGGTGCATCTCCTCATATGACCCGCCAAATCGCTACCCAAGTTTAAGAAAAGAAGAGCCGATTACTAATCCATCAGAAGCCTCGAAACACAAGGCTGTCTTTGTCTTGGTCACATCCCCGACGAAAGCGTACTCTGAAATCTTGAAAACCATGTACAGGGAAAGCCCTACTGTAATGCCAGCCAAGTCATGAAGGACGCCGACAAACTGAGAAGCTTATGCGCAACGGCAACGGGAAAGCCTGGGAAGAAATGATATCTCCTTAGTTTAACCGATAAATCGGTAATAAGTGCCTGGTCTACCATTCGGGTGTGTTGCTCCGGGTCTTGGATTCTCTATAGAGCCCGAAAACCAGACAAGAATGCAATGCCAAAGAAAGGAATTGGCAATGGTTATGGTGTTTCCTCATGGAATGGTGTTAGCTGGGGCACCTGAAGTAATCTGACAACTCATGACTAAATTAGCAAAGATGCTATTTCCAGCCTCAACCAATTGTAGTCCGAGAGGGGTTTTGGACAACAATTTATGCAATTTCATGAAAAGAAAATTCTGTAATTTTTAGATTTAAAAAATAGTTATATATTATTGTCTAAAAATGTTGTAGTTAAATGCAGACGACGTCTAACTAACAAAAAAACATAATCCATCAAAATGAAGGGTGATTATTTCCAGATTGTGATTGTATTTAACAGTAATAATCGAAAAGACAAGAGAAAAATAGTTTCAGAGGCGTCCAGTGTTGGGAAATGGAAGGAACTCAGGCCAGAGACATCCTGACCAACTTATCGTACAAGATTCTGTCATCCCTTCCAGTGTTGCTCTCCAACAACGCGCTTTGCACCAGTTCCTGATACCCAATATTACCCAAAAGAAAGAAATAATGAATAATAATGGGAGAAACCAATCGGATTTTCTAAAGGCAAGTCATCCATCAGATAGAATGTTAGCAATCACCTTTACTTCGCGGTGAGACAGGAACTTCCCTAAGCTGTGGATGATCAACCTCATGTCTTCCACCTGCAACAACAATTTCAGATTCATCTCCAAAAAAAATGACCTTTGAATTGTTTTGTTTAGTGTTGAGCTTCTCCTCTCACCCTGATGTAGCCAACTTGGTAGCGGTCAAAGAACCTAAATGCCTGAACCCATAGAAAAGGAATTCCAAATCAAATTCATTGTGAGTGAAAGTGTCTCTTTTTAAGTTTGCAGGGAGTATACTTTACTTTTACCTGTAACAACTCCTTATTAACCTTTTCTTCTCTCTTTGGCGCATCAGAAGCTACCTTATCCTTGTCTGCTTCCAGGTCCGGCTTTATTTCAGGTGCTTCGTGATCAGTCTTGTCCTCTGCCGATTCATCTTTTGTTTCTTTTTTCTCAGTTGCCGCCTCCTCAACCTCGGTAGCAGGAGGATCAGCAGCAGTGGCATTAGTCTTCTCTGGCTGCTCATCATTCTTGTGCTGTAAAAAGAAACAATAAAGAAGCGAAAATATTCAATAGTTAAACCATTTGTGGTACAATTCAATGCCAAATTTCTTAAGATTGAACTTCAGAAGGGCTGCACTATGAAAACAGCTTGGCAGATGAGTAAATCATACCTCCTCACCAGGCCCTTGCTCTGGATTTGCATCCCCAGTTTCCTCGTTTTCTTCAGGGTCTTCTTCCATATCCTCTTCAGGATCTTCTTCCGGATCCTCTTCTTCAGGATCCTCTTCTTCTTCATCAGCCTTATCATCCAACTTCTCCTCGCTTTCCACTTCCATAGAAGTAGCCTCATTACCGGTAACTTCTTTATCGCATGAAACTTCTTCAGTGTTTGCAACAGCTTCCTTGACCAAAACTTCTTTATCATCCATTGGAGCATCGGATCCAGGTTTAACAGAGGTATCTTTTTCTGGATGTTCACCTGTCTTCTGACGCTTTGTTGGGGATTTTGCCTCGCTTTCCTTGGCAGATATCTCTTCCTGATGCCTCTTCCGTTGATTTCTTTGTCTCACAAATTTCACACGGAGTATCTTTATGGGGGGAAATGAGGGGGAAAAGGAAAAACATAAGCAAGTTTGTGGCGACTCTGAACCAAAAGATAATTCAGGAACAATGACCACAAACTAACCTGGAGAAAGGCCAAAATACGGCAACCCATTTGATATTGAAGCATCTCAAACATCGCTTCAGCAAACAATGAAAGCTGCCAGGATCACATGCAATGTATAGTGTGATAAGTAAGCTGATTGCTTCAGTAGAATCAGTAGTATTACCAAAAGTAGTCTACCAAGCCCAATGAGAAAGAAAATGAAAATAAAATGTTTATAAAGACTAAACAAAGTATAAGAGAGATGGAAACCCGCAAAGAAAAAAGGACATTATTGACCTTGACAAAAATAACCTGGAAAACTGACCTCAAATGATGATTCGTCAAAGTCCTTGTCAGTGTAATCCAAGAGCGAATCCAGGGAGACCGAGAGGGAACGCAACTGCTAAAACAAAGGATCGCAGATTAGAGAAAGATATTTCTTCAGAAAGTTGTAACATAAAACTTTCTTGTGGTCAACATACTTTAGAGTCTTTGTTTCGTTTCATTTGTAGAATGAATCCTGGACGAGGAGGTTCCTCAGATTTTTTCCTGTCCTTGATTTCTTTATTCACAAGAATCCTGGACTCATCTTTACCATCTCTCTCTTTCGTCTCTTTCTCGATACATTTTTCTTTTCCCTTCGTTTCACCAGCATCATTCCCATTAACCTTTTTCCCTTCAGATGGAATCTCTGAGTTGTTCTCTCCCTCAACCTTCATCTCCTTTTTTTCATCTTTTGGAGATTTGGGCGTTTGTTTGGTCTCAACTGTTTTGACCTCTGCATCCTTCACACCTGAATCAGGTGGATTCTTACCCGCCTCCACTACCTTTTTCTCACCATTATCCCCATCTTTCTTCATTTCACTATTGCTGTCTACTTCAGCAGCCTTCTGTTTAGGCACCCTTTTGATAATTTTCTTCTTTACAGTTGTCTTTGTAGAGGCCTGTTCCGTAGCCTTCGCACTGGGATCTAAGCTGTCAACAGGCTTATCTTTAGATATCCCTGTAGTGGATCCTATCTCCACTCCGGTGCTCTTCACTTCATTCTGGGTGTCTTTTGCCATTGTCCCCTTTTCCTCATTCTGTTTGGCTTTTGCCACAACCCTTTTCACTACTTTTTTCTTAGCAGCTGTACCTGAGGATTCTTCTTGTGGGGCTGACGTCTCTGATTTGGCAACCTGCTCAGATGCATCCTTCTCATCAGACTTCTCATCTTTTTTACCAGTTGCTTTACTTCCATTAACAGGTCTTCTAACTACTCTTTTGATAATCTTTTTCACGGTCTTCTTAGTTCCAGTTGTCTGAGCTCCAGAAGCTTCTCCCTGTGATGTTTTATCTGCATCTTTGGCTACTTTACTAGCATCATCAATGTCCTTTTCCATGTTAACACTGTCTTTCTTAACCTCATCCTTCAGGGAGAGTAGACTCTCTCTTTCAGCAATAACTTTCCTATGCGCCAACCATTGGGCTCTCCAAGAATCAAATGAAGGAAGGCAATCTGATAAATCCGGCACAAATAAAACTGTGGTCTCTTTGTAACTAAAGAGTCCATCTTCACCAACTCTGTCGTAATGTATCTGCAAAGGAAAAAAATAAGCAAAAGAAAAGGTAAGTGCCCTATGCACTAATATTAGATAGTCTAACCTATCACAGATATGCCAATCTAGACATAATCATCCAAACACTTCAATGCAATCTGAGGCAAAGAGGCAAAATAATACCTCGAGAAAAGGGTTCCAGTTACGGCAATTGCGCAAATCAAGTTGAAGCATATCCTTTGTGTATCTGCAATGCAAAGGCCCTCTCAAGCCTCAAACAAGGAACAAAGAGTGACAAATCTCCATGTAAAAAAGTCCAAATAAAGCAACAGACCTCAAGACTGTCTGAATTAGGGAAGATGGATCAACTGATGGGTCCTTGCCATCTGCAGGATCCCATGGACCACCAATTGCTGTGAGAGAATGATCCTTTTTAAGAACTGCAAATTTTAGAATGTTACATATATGGGGTATACGATCTTCAAATATTTTGTCTGAAGAAAGATCTTCCAGAGCAGTCCTGCTAAGCCCGCTCATCAAAATCATCTGAATAACAGAAAGAAAGAAACAACCATTACACACAAGCAAGTTTCTTACAAGTACTAGAAAAAAACATATCAGAAATACAGATCAATCAGATCTATACAGTAATGCAACTTGCATTTCACAATATCCAGAAGCGATAAGTAATCATCTAAAAGATATAAGGGCCAAGCACTGAACATCAACTCAAACAAAAAGAAAGAATATAACGCAGAGGGATGTAATCTAATCTAGCGACAACCGACCTTAGCATTCCACACATTATTTCCACCAGATCTAAAAGGTGCTTCAGCCAGTGACTTGTTGAGAATATCTTTAACAGCAACCCCATCATCTTCAATGCAATCATGTTCAAAGCTGCTCCAACTCAGTAGAAGAACGTCAGATTCACTAAACCATCTAAGAATATATAATACAACACAAGTTCGAGAAGATAAAACACAAAAATGGTACAAGGTTTAATTCTAGTAGACTTAGTCAATAAAACAAATTGTAAAGCTTCTGTCCATTAAATCTATTTCCCATTCCAAATGAAGCAAACAAGTGGAGTCGTATAGAGAAAATGAAAAAACGTATTTTCTCGGACGGACAAAATGTAACTCCAAAAGCAAAAAGATTAAAGCACCTGACAGCAGTATGCATAGAGAGGGTAAGCTTTTGCTTCGGCCAGTTCACTACAACCTGAAAGATATAAAGAGGGGGTTAAGCATGCAACAAAGCACCCACTAAAGATATCTTTAGAATTAGAGAGTAGTTGATAAGCAGAAAAACAATAATACCTTTGAGAGCTCAGAAGGCACAAAAATTCTAGGATACCGTCTACCAATTGTCAAATAATCCCTCTCCTCATCAACCAATCGGGTGGAAGAGACCTGCAAAAAGAAGTAAAATCATCAAGTGAAAATGATTTTCCACATCAATAATGAGGATAGCAGTATGCCGATACAGAGGGCAGGTAGCTGCTTCATGCCGAACCGAGTGGTAAAAATAATTTTTTATACATAATCAGCGGAAAAAAATACAAATCTAAGGTAGACATCTTTGATTGGTGCAAAAAAAAAGATATAAGCATCTCAGGTCTCATCCTTCTGAACGTTCCATATTGCCATCAATCTTAGTCCAAAAATCTCATCCAGGAAAGTTTTGAACCAAAACACAACACATGCCAATGTTGGCCTCCGAGACAACACAAGAAATAAGGAACTATTACGGCAGCTTGTGCTAAGGTACTGCAACAAGAAAGTTCTCATAACTTCAAGAGAGTGATAAATAACATCAAAGGAAGGATGCAGCGGATCAGAAACTTGATCAAAATAACTGGGAAATGCCACCTAAATTAGGTGGCAAAGAAAAGAACAAGGAATATTCACCCGAAGAGGAAGATATCAAATGGAACGAATGGTGCACAAGCAAGCTGAACTCAGAAGAAAATAGAACAAAAAAAGAGGTCCCAGTAAGCAAATAGAGGAGGAAAATGAAATGCATCGAGAATTGTCTCGGGAGCTGAGAGTGTACTTGAACCAGAGGCCAAGAGAAGGAAGGAAACAAGTCCCCAGCGAAGATTTAAGAACACCAGGAGAATTTATATGCAGAAAGGAAGATCATGAGAATCCCTGCAGTGGAGGTAATAGCATCATTGAATGATGATACTCTTGAAACACTGTTTTACCTTGCATACATAATCTCTCCTTATCGGCTCAACCGGCGAAGGGCGCCTTCAGGCATAACAGAAACCAAGTTAGTGTCCAAGGCGTCAACACAAAGAATGCCCTGTATTCCAGTTGAAGAGCGTGACAGAGATCGAAAAAGAACCTATTTGAAGCTTCATGATGTGGTGCATCTCGCCGTAAGGAGGAACTACGTACATCCCTACTAACTGCTCTTGGTATTGGAGTTCGTTCCTTTCTGTCCCTCGAAATAGCTCTAGGGGTTGGAGTCCGTACACGCTTCATCTCAAGGGCACGTTTACGCTCCCGTTCCCGTTCCCTTTCCTTCTCTCGCTGTTCCAGAATCCGTTTCCTTTCGAGGTCTCTTTCCCGTTGTCGGTCTCTTTCTCTTTGCCGTTCACGTTCCCGTTGCCGCTCGCGTTCTCTCTCCCGTTCACGTTCCCTCTCTCTTTCTCGCTCTTTATCTCTAGCACGTTGACTCTCACGGCGACGCT